ATGGGATCTTGTGTCTCAAGCATATAGCTTTGAATGTCAACCATTGTTTCTGCAGTGGAGTTGGTTGTAGAGTTTTGTGGGACAAAGGTTTTCTTATGAGGGGGGGAAGAGGAGACTGGTGTCTCAGGAACAAAGGTATAGGTAGGTGGAGGTAATTGTGCTGTAGGGGAAGAAGGGTTAGAACGTTTAGTCTGTCTACTGCGGGTAGTGCGAGGATGGAGAGGGGATGGTGTTGGGGCTGTAGTTGAGACTGGAGCTGTGGTTGAGATTGGGGTGTCTGGGTTTAGAGTGGCAAAGGAATTGGTCTGAGGGAGGTAGAATGTAGGTGGAAATTGGGACATCTTAGGGTGGAGGGGGAGGGGCTGAGCGAACGATGTTACTAGAGTATGGAGTATGAGAGAAACCTTGTCGACGTGCTTCCTGTCTAGCTTCACGTAGAGTGAGACCATTTTTGTATCTGAGAGTTGCTACTTCAGATTCAAACTTGTAAGAGGGACAGCCTCTATAAAATACATTATGGGGGCTGCCGCAGTTAGCACATGTTCGTGTTTGTGCTGAGCAGTTTGATCTGTTATGACCAGGTTGGGCACAAATAGGGCATCAGTCTGTGGAACGGCAATGTTTGGCAGGATGTCCAAAGCGCCAACAGTTTTGACATTGACAAGGAGGGGGTTGGTATGGTCGAACAGGGAGGGATTGTCCACCGATGTAGATACGTAAGGGAAGGTCATGTGTACGGAAGGTAATTTTGGCAATGTTGGTCGGATTCTTTCGTTGACCTTTAGGAGGAATGGTGTAGCAATGTACTGATTTCACATCTTGGTCTTTGAGGCATCCTAATAAGTCTTCTCCACAGTCTGACCAATCTTTGGTATCGACTGAGCAGTTTGCTGGGGAGAGAGAGACAGTTCCGGTACAGGTATCAAGGGTTGGATGAGGTTCTGCAGGAATGGGGTTGCCAGAATGATCAGTTAACTTTGATAGTTCTATAGATTCAGTTTCTGATCTGACTGTTACAAGACGGGAGCGATCGCGTCTGGTATAGAAAGGGACTCTACCTACTTGTTTTTGGAGGCATTGTTGAAAGAGAAGAGTGTTGCCTGAGAAGAGAAGGGGGAAAAAATCGGTCCCATTTAGCTGGGCTAAACAGAGTATTTAAAATATCTGTAGGGTTGGTGGTGTTAGATGGTCGGGGACGTGTGGAAGAGGGAGTATTACAGAATGATGGAGAATAAGGCTGCAAGGTAGTAATAAAGGAGGATTGGTTGCTTGATGAAGGTTGCGGGGGTAGAGTTGATGAATTTGAGGAAGTTGGGTGGGTAGGAATGTCTTCTGGAGATTTATTCTCTGCTTGGGTGGGTAATGCACTAGTAGGCATTGAGGAGTGGGTAGTAGTTTCAGTGTTCGGAGCCATGGTCAAAGGAGAGCCTGGGTTGGGGCTATTTGATAAAGGGGCTAGCCTCATTGCCTCTAATAAAGGGATTACATTTTCATTACTGGTCATGGGTAACCTGGATTATATGAAAGGCATCAACAGGTCCACCTCCATCGCTAGTGAAAGGTAAGGGCTAGATTAGTCGGGAGTACTGTGCCCATAGTTCCCGCAGGCCGTTTAGGACTGGCACAAGGTCAGCCTTTCATCCTCTCAGCACGGCTCTCACACCTTAGGATATAGATAGTAGAAGGGGATGGAGAAGGGATGGAAACAAAAGCTGGAGGGGGAAAAGACCATGTAAAATTAGTTGAGTCGAGGGCTGAGGCCCTAGGTAGGGGAGATCCCTGCATTGGGTCTCAGTCTCCGTCTCCTAAGCCCCCCCACGACAACAACGGGCAAGGGATGGGGGGGGGGGGGGAAGGAGGAGGAGAATATTTAGTTTTAATTCCATTTGTTACAATGGATATTCTTTTACATGTTTTTTGTCCGGGGTTCCTATCCACTAGCAATGTGTGGGATTGAACGCAGGTCAGCAAGATTGCTAGATGACACTAACCACTGCACTACACAGCAAGACAGAGATTCCTAACCTATTTTATGCCCGCATCCCTAAGAAAGTTTTACTGTGTCCTTGCACCCCCTTAAGATTTATAGCTTATTTAAAGTTAAAGGAGGTGAATTTATACTAAATTTGATCAACAAAAGAAAATGTTCTTTTTCATTTTCTAATATGTTAACAATATTCAAACATAAGGACAAGAAAGTATGTCTCAGATTATTTTAATAAACCCTACAAAAAATAATCACTTGAAATATCTATATATAATAATCAAAGAACTAACTTTAAAACATTTATATAAATTCAATTCAATGGCTCTTTTCTTCCTGTTTCTTGATTATGAATAATAAATAGATTAATTGCGTGTCTTCAAATTGGACACTTCTCTCATCCCCTGGGGGTATGAGCACCCATGGTTGGGAAACCCTGCAGTGAGAAAAGGAGAAAGAAGTAGAAAGAGAGGGAGAAGAAGGAGGAGGAGGAAGGAACAGGAATAAAACAACCTCAATTTTCACAAAATATATTTCAAACCAAGACATGAAATCTCAGAAAACATTAATATTTAAAGGTCGTGACAGTACAAGAGGAAAGTTTACAAACGAGTGCAAGAGCATTCGTATCAGTCGATTATTTAAGGCAGCACGTGAGAAAGAATGAAAGTACAGTACCTTTGGTAATACAGTATCATAAGTTAAAGCTTATGTAAGTTCATGAAGACAGGCTCAGGTAGAGGAATCTTAAAATAATATCCTTTAAAAGGACCTCCCTTACTGGAACCTACAATGTAAAGAATTGCTATAAGGAAAATATAACACTGATGGAGTGCGAGGATTATAGCTATTGAAAAGGTACTAATATCTATGAAGTTATGTTTATTGTACACCATTATTAAATAAATAAATAATTGGCATGTAGTGCTTTCAAACAAATATGGAGCTAAACTCAAAATTCAGTCTTTACTATACATACAGACTGAAAGGAGCATAATATTTTACTTAAAACTGATGTTTCATTAGTAAAAAATCTTATGGAATGAAAACAGATTGTAAAATGGATTCATCTGTTAATCACAACCTGTATATATTATTTATCACTCTTGCATCTGGCTTAATAAAATTTATTTCACTGAAAAAGAAGGTCTACATTTTCTTTATGAACAATAAAATTTATCAATAATGGTAAAAATAATAAAAACAACAGTAATGCAAATTGATATACAAGTTCAATAATAATATTAATAATGACAAACCAATAATAATTATTACAATAATAATGATAAAATCTTTTTCACAAGGCAATAATCTACTACCTATGAAAGTATACTGTTCAGGTATGCACTGCAGTATCTGGATCTTAATATTCTAAGAAAAATGATCAAGTACCATCTATGAAACTTCATATACACTAACATATAGATGAGCTATTACATGATACACATGCATACATACACACATACACATGTTTACTTGTGTGTATATGCAAAATAGTGCCCACTCTTATTAAACTGAAAAAAAAGGACATGCACATTTATATTTCATGATAAATAAAAGATAAGTTATTAAACTGATACACAAAGAGGAACTAATAATAGCACACATAGCACTGTGGTCCAGACGCCTTGCATGTTCCACGACAGACATCCTAAATCAATAGGGTAGGTCACAGCCATATATCTGATATATATAACCCATATATGGTATGTACATATACAACTGAGATAATCATAACATCTATGGTGGACATTTGGCATGGTAAGGCTTCTGTAAATTACTTTTTTCCTTTCTTTTTTATTTACTGATTTAGTGGTGAGGTACTCTCCATAAAGCGTACGAAACTGTACCGATATCATGAGATCTAATGCAGATTGCATGAACATTCAAGAGTCAAAAAAGAAAAGAGAAAATGTATTTTATAAAATTACTTCCCTGTTAATCCTCTATCAATTTCAAATCATACCCTCTCATATATTGGGAATATGACCAGTTAGCAAATGAATCCATAAACAACAGTTTCTTTAAATGCCTCGAGAAATAAGTTTTCCAATATCTTTAGATTCATTTCCTACAATAACACAATCTTTCCATACAAAATATAAAATGCAAAATAAATATTGAAATATAAGAATGAAGAAAATCTTTCAAAAGTGACTCCAGCACTCACACTAACATATCCATAAAAAAAAAAAAAAAAAAAAAAAAAAAAATCACAAATATCAATCAATTTTCTAGAAATGAAAAGTATGCATATCCTGCTTATAATATCAGATATACATGTTTACATATGTATTATCCAAGACAAGATAATTCACCTCACTCACCATCTTTACAAAATTAAAAATATATGAAGATACAGCAAGTCCAGCAGGTACGCGCATTCAACACCAAAAGATACTGCTCTTAGTCGTGAGCCAATTGCAACTGTTGCTGCTGGTCATTCGGAGGAGGATCGTCTTCACCAACCTCAATGTTCACATTGATTTCCAGACGCAGGTGGATGTTGGTTACCATGAATCCGATCGCAATGAGTAAGGGGAGGCGTACTCGTGAAGCCCAGGCAAGCTTAAAGAGGAAGGCGAGTGTTGGGGGCAGGCCTTTTGAGCCACCGAGTAACACTGATGTAATATCACGTAGCATTGTTGCTTCACCAACTGACCTATAAATCAAGAGGAAAAAAAGGTAAAATGTAAGATTAAAGAATTTTCTTTTTGTATTTAGAGGTAAAATAATGCAGTTACTAAATGTAATTATTATATATATATATATATATATATATATATATATATATATATAATATATATATATATTATATATATATATATATATATTTAATTTTCTTAGAATCACCCTCCATAAGGATATAAGTTAATAAAAAATCAATAGGCAAATAAACGTACACAAATATCAGAACACATACAACTACTCTTTTATTTTGTAACAGCAAAACATGAACCAATGTAGGAGGTTCATTCAATAATGAGAAGTATGACCTTAACTACTTCCTATTGGC